CGGTAAGCAGGGTACGCGGTTGCTTACGGGCCCGGACCAATCAGGGGCCCGCTTGACTGGAAGATATTGATTGACAGCCGGGGCCCCCTATCGCATATTACTACTTTTAGTTTGATCTCATTTTACTTTATCACGATTTTGTTTTAAATAAATAATGACAACAACATATTTTACAGATCATTAAATACATGTGTGAAACGAACAATCATGGATTTTGGTGTAATTTGTTTTGAGCTGCGACTGGGGAATCCCCGGGTCGGCTGTTTAACGTTACACGCGCGCGCCACTTCATGCGTTTTCTCAGATCGGATAGCTACTGATTTATCAAAACGATTCCATTTACAGCTGGTCACATAAATGTGTTTTTGCAAAACAGATATAAATCCGATCTTCAATTTCCGCGCTATATGCAGATTTAATAGAGTTCACGTCACCGAAAGCAACAGATAAGCTGCATATTGATCATCAGCTAAAATTTCTAAATCGAAGACCTTAATTAGAGAGAGCGGCAACCAGGGGCGGCCTTACCTATGTTTCACCCGTTTCAATTGAAACGGGCCCCGCCCTCCAAGGGGGCCCCAACAGACCAGCAAAATCCCATTCATTTTCTCCGTAGGATATTGATTTTCAGCCATAATGTCTAAACCATTCAAGGTAGATTGACCACGAGCTACGAGGTTGTGAAATGAAAGTTTCTGCTCCTTTAAAAGCCACAAGCTATGAAATCAACCTTGTTATTTGCAAAACACTGACGTCTGATTGGTAGAACTCGCGGTTACCACTCCCGCGAACGGCTTAAGCGATCTGAATAATATCGGTAGTTTATGTATTTATACTTGTGCCTTTTTTGCCGTTAGGTTAAAATGTTATTTTGAGCAGAAAAAGAATTTTAAGAGGAAATGAAACTGAAAAACGAAAGATATCGGACAACAAAAGAAAAGCTTTATTCAGTCTACCAAAAGTGAAGTTACCCTGCGTGAAAGGGCGAGGCTTATTCCATGATATATAAGTTAATTGTATATAGTTTTAATCGAATAAGGTTGGATTATTTCTATGTTAAGCTGCCTGTTCATGAAGCTGAAAGAGCACGTAATAAAATAATGTACCATTGATGCAAACCAACAGGAATATTGCTTTTTCTGCTCTATTATGTTTATGTTTTATGTAGGGCCCCATATTAGTTATTGAAACGGGCCCCCAGATGCTTAAGGCCGCCACTGGCGGCAACAGTACTGGTAAGATCATTTCGTTTCTTTACTTTTAATGAAGATGATTGTGTGTTAAGCGAGCGTCTGCGACTTACTTTCACTTTGATTTGCGATAGTTTGTGCGTTGGCTTGATGAAGAGATGCTCATCTGCGGTGATGCGTGTTGTTGCAGAAGCGTCGTCATATCTGACTATGACATATAGCTTATAACACGCTCTCACACGTTTATTTTTTTAGCATTTTTAGAGGAGTAAAATTGACATATGTGGTTTCAACAACCAGATGCATTTACACTTGTCCAGTGTCGTCTGGAATGCGGCCCAGACCTCCTCCTGAAGTGGTTTGAGCGACCGGATTCAAATCCGTCTCGAATGCGTTTGGAAGGGAATTTACACCTGGTCTTTTCACGATCGGATAGCTATACGATCACAGAAAAAGCATGAAGTGGCCAGGTGTAAACAGTTCCTTGCGTATTGCATGCAAAAGCCTACTCGTGGACATTGCGTCATCACGTTACTGTTGTAACGTTAGTAGGGGGCCCGCCTTGATAATCCTGCATAAGGGCCCGGTGTTGGCTCGTTACGCCACTGTGTTTGAGTGTGTGTGTGTTTGAGTATGTTTGTGTTTGAGTATGTGTGTGTTTGAGTATGTTTGTGTTTGAGTATGTTTGTGTTTGAGTATGTGTGTGTTTGAGTATGTTTGTGTTTGAGTGTGTGAGTTTGTGTGTGTTTGTGTTTGAGTGTGTGTGTGTTTGAGTATGTTTGTGTTTGAGTGTGTGTGTGTTTGAGTATGTTTGTGTTTGAGTATGTGTGTGTTTGAGTATGTTTGTGTTTGAGTATGTTTGTGTTTGAGTATGTTTGTGTTTGAGTGTGTGAGTTTGTGTGTGTTTGTGTTTGAGTGTGTGTGTGTTTGAGTATGTTTGTGTTTGAGTGTGTGTGTGTTTGAGTATGTTTGTGTTTGAGTATGTGTGTGTTTGAGTATGTTTGTGTTTGAGTATGTGTGTGTTTGAGTATGTTTGTGTTTGAGTATGTTTGTGTTTGAGTATGTTTGTGTTTGAGTGTGTGTGTGTTTGAGTATGTTTGTGTTTGAGTATGTTTGTGTTTGAGTATGTTTGTGTTTGAGTGTGTGAGTTTGTGTGTGTTTGTGTTTGAGTGTGTGTGTGTTTGAGTATGTT